AAGCAATGCATTGGACGTTGGGGCATGATGAGATTGCATAGCGAGCCAACCAGCTAGTGTTCTAACTAAACGCTGCTGCCACGGCTGGACTAGAGGCTGCGTCTACTTCACTCTCATCCTAAAACTCAGAGTCGGAAAGATCCGAAGCACCGTGTATAAGACTTTGAATCTTTACTACTAGAGAACCGACCAGATCGCACGATTAATACGGACGAGGAACAGCTGAAAATCACATTCACTGCTCTCGTGGAAATTCTGTCTGGAGAACTTCGTTGATTATCAGATAAATGTCCTGCGCTATACAATGGGGCCCACGGTTCCATAGCAGCAGGTTCGCAAAGCCCATAGTCAATCAAACTTCGCTTCTCTCTCTCCCATCATGTCCATGGCCATCTTCCCACCGTCTTATAGAGTTAGTCGAGTGCATATATCAAAGTTGGCAGTCTTACAGTCGCGTAATAACCCCCAATATATAATTGAATACTACCCAACTTAAGGCCAAAATTGGAATAAATGCCACGAGTATCAACAGGAGGATCGCTTCGAAATTGAGAATCTCGAGGAGGTTCAAATTCTGGAGCAGGAGGTTTAGACCTAATACTGTGACCACAATGATCAATAGAGCACTTGGCCAACCTCTCATGATGATGGCGGTTGGGGATAAAGTTTGGTTGTCGCGGGACTAGGAAGACTGGAGATACACAGCAGTGGGTAAGGACGGGGGGAGGGGGGACTACGATTGTGGACTCGGATTCTCCAGTCCCTCATGCACTCAAGTTTAAGTGATACCAACGCAGACACCCACCGTTTCGGCGGTAGGCGATCTGGTGGAATCTGGCGCTATTGATACTTGTGTTGAGAATTATAATTAGCAACTGTCGTCGATCTCCATGGTCGACTCAGAGCTAGACGCTACTTTACCTCTATACAAGTGTTCGAAATGCTGCCTCTGGGTCTGACACAATCATGGGCTGTTCAAGCACGGACAAAAACTCCTCAATAAAGTTAACATCGCCTTGCCCTTTCCAGGCGACCGTGCAAGGCCTTATCTAGGGGTGTCTATGCTAAAACCAGTGTCCTCCTAAGTGCTCCCGACTTGAACTGTACATATGCACTTCAACGGTACTATATATATATAAAATAAAGATAGCGACGTCTATATAGCTAATACTATATATTTATTACTCGTTAACTTCTTCCTAGTTATCTAGGGGTTAAGTACTCATGTTCTAGTTATATTTCTCCATAGTAGGCACTTCCATAGCCTATTTTCGAGCCTATGATTATAATATTAGACGCGACGCGTATATTACGTGATAATAACGCGATAATGACGCGCTGAGGCCGCTAATACCGTTGAAGTGCATATGTACATAGGTTACAACTTCGAAGTGCGTGGGACGGGTAGTATGCTAGGAGGTATTGAACAAATTGAGATTTTGTACTCCTGAATTGCCAAGGACTCGATTCTCCGACAGCCGTGAGCAATACGCGGGAATTTAGTTTAGTAAGAGTATGGTGGAAAAGCTTCTCCTTCTCCTTTCGATGCTTCCGCAGAGACTTATATCCAGTTATCATTCGAATTGAGAGATTGAGAGATCCATCGCAGGTCTGGGTCCATTGTAACTTGAGGTCAGACCCAACAGACACGATGCATTCAGTGTTTGAATTGAGGACGTGCGCGCCTCGAAGAAAGAACGTGATCAGTGAAATCAAAAGTGGCTAGCGCGTCGACCAG